TGCGACCTCTGGGATGAAGCCACGTTGCAGGCGCGGGTGGGTTGATTCTAGGAACTTGAATTGTAAGAAGAGACAAGACGTTGGGAAATGAGTGACAAACGGTGACTCACCAGTGACTCACGGCCTACCCGTACCCGGCCGCACCAAGGTCGCAAACGACTACCCGTACCCAGCCGGGTACGGGTAGTCGGGTACGGGTAGGGTACGGGTATCGGGTAGGGTACGGGTATCGGGTAGGGTACGGGTATTGGGTATCGGGTAGGGTACGGGTATCGGGTAGGGTACGGGTATCGGGTATCGGGTAGGGTACGGGTATCAGGTAGGTACGGGTATCGGGTAGGGTACGGGTATCGGGTATCGGGTAGGGTACGGTATCGGGTAGGGTACGGGTATCGGGTATCGGGTAGGGTACGGGTATCGGGTAGGGTACGGGTATCGGGTAGGGTACGGGTATCGGGTAGGGTATGGGTATCGGGTAGTCGGGTACGGGTATCGGGTAGGGTACGGGTAGGGTATCGGGTAGGGTACGGGTATCGGGTAGGGTACGGGTATCGGGTAGGGTACGGGTATCGGGTAGGGTACGGGTATCGGGTAGGGTACGTGTATCGGGTATCGGGTAGGGTACGGGTATCGGGTAGGGTACGGGTATCGGGTATCGGGTAGGGTACGGGTATCGGGTAGGGTACGGGTATCGGGTATCGGGTAGGGTAGGGTATCGGGTATCGGGTAGGGTACGGGTATCGGGTAGGGTACGGGTATCGGGTAGGGTACGGTATCGGGTAGGGTACGGGTATCGGGTAGGGTATGGGTATCGGGTAGTCGGGTACGGGTATCGGGTAGGGTACGGGTAGGGTATCGGGTAGGGTACGGGTAGGGTAGGGTACGGGTATCGGGTAGGGTACGGGTATCGGTAGGGTACGGGTATCGGGTAGGGTACGGGTATCGGGTATCGGGTAGGGTACGGGTATCGGGTAGGGTACGGGTATCGGGTATCAGGTAGGGTACGGGTATCGGGTAGGGTACGGGTATCGGGTAGGGTACGGGTATCGGGTAGGGTAGGGTATCGGGTAGGGTACGGGTATCGGGTAGGGTACGGGTATCGGGTAGGGTACGGGTATCGGGTATCGGGTAGGGTACGGGTACCGGGTAGGGTACGGGTATCGGGTATCAGGTAGGGTACGGGTATCGGGTAGGGTACGGGTATCGGGTAGGGTACGGGTATCGGGTAGGGTACGGGTATCGGGTAGGGTACGGGTAGGGTATCGGGTAGGGTACGGGTATCGGGTAGGGTACGGGTATCGGGTATCAGGTAGGGTACGGGTATCGGGTAGGGTACGGGTATCGGGTAGGGTACGGGTATCGGGTAGGGTACGGGTATCGGGTAGGGTACGGGTATCGGGTAGGGTACGGGTATCGGGTAGGGTACGGGTATCGGGTATCGGGTAGGGTACGGGTATCGGGTAGGGTACGGGTATCGGGTATCAGGTAGGTACGGGTATCGGGTAGGGTACGGGTATCGGGTAGGGTACGGGTATCGGGTAGGGTACGGGTATCGGGTAGGGGTACGGGTATCGGGTACCCGATTGCAACCTCTGGCGCTGGTCTAACCGTCCCACCTGACGCTCACCCGACCCTGTTGCTCTCTTTTACACATTTTGAATGTTCCCCGTTCCCTAAGCAGTCGGAGCGCGGAGTGACGGCGCTGCCGTCTTGACTACTCTGTCCCAGGGACCGTGTGGGACTGTCACCGCACACCTGTCACGCGTTTCTCTTTCAATCCAGGGACGAGTTGGAATCTTGTCGAAGCGCATCACCAGGCACAGCTCGGAGCCTACGTACAGACATGCACAAACTTGGTAATACAAAACGCAAAACCAGTATGTTTAGTATGCTGATGATAATATGTAGTTTATACTTTAGTTGCTTACGTGGTGGTTTTAGTTGCCGCAGCTACATACTATTAACACTCCTTTCTCTTTATTAATGCTACCCCTATCCCCTCCCTTTGATGCTGCTAATCCTGCATAACGCACGGGCATAAGTAGTACTAATCACATACCTGCATTTCCCATATCCCCTCCCTTGATGCTGCTAATCCTGCATAATGCACGGACACAAGTAGTACTAATCACATACCTGCATTTCCCATATCCCCTCCCTTTGATGCTGCTAATCCTGCATAATGCACGGGCATAAGTAGTACTAATCACATACCTGCATTTCCCATATCCCCTCCCTTTGATGCTGCTAATCCTGCATAATGCACGGGCATAAGTAGTACTAATCACACACCTGCATTTCCCATATCCCCTCCCTTTGATGCTGCTAATCCTGCATAATGCACGGGCATAAGTAGTACTAATCACATACCTGCATTTCCCATATCCCCTTCCTTGATGCTGCTAATCCTGCATAATGCACGGGCATGAGTAGTACTAATCACATACCTGCATTTCCCATATCCCCTCCCTTTGATGCTGCTAATCCTGCATAATGCACGGGCATGAGTAGTACTAATCACATACCTGCATTTCCCATATCCCCTCCCTGTGATGCTGCTAATCCTGCATAATGCACGGACACAAGTAGTACTAATCACATACCTGCATTTCCCATATCCCCTCCCTTGATGCTGCTAATCCTGCATAATGCACGGGCATAAGTAGTACTAATCACATACCTGCATTTCCCATATCCCCTCCCTGTGATGCTGCTAATCCTGCATAATGCACGGGCATAAGTAGTACTAATCACATACCTGCATTTCCCATATCCCCTCCCTTTGATGCTGCTAATCCTGCATAATGCACGGGCATGAAGTAGTACTAATCACATACCTGCATTTCCCATATCCCCTCCCTGTGATGCTGCTAATCCTGCATAATGCACGGGCATGAGTAGTACTAATCACATACCTGCATTTCCCATATCCCCTCCCTGTGATGCTGCTAATCCTGCATAATGCACGGGCATAAGTAGTACTAATCACATACCTGCATTTCCCATATCCCTCCCTGTGATGCTGCTAATCCTGCATAATGCACGGGCATGAGTAGTACTAATCACATACCTGCATTTCCCATATCCCCTCCCTTTGTGATGCTGCTAATCCTGCATAATGCACGGGCATGAGTAGTACTAATCACATACCTGCATTTCCCATATCCCCTCCCTGTGATGCTGCTAATCCTGCATAATGCACGGGCATAAGTAGTACTAATTCACATACCTGCATTTCCCATATCCCCTCCCTTTGATGCTTGCTAATCCTGCATAATGCACGGGCATGAGTAGTACTAATCACATACCTGCATTTCCCATATCCCCTCCCTGTGATGCTGCTAATCCTGCATAATGCACGGGCATGAGTAGTACTAATCACATACCTGCATTTCCCATATCCCCTCCCTGTGATGCTGCTAATCCTGCATAATGCACGGGCATGAGTAGTACTAATCACATACCTGCATTTCCCATATCCCCTCCCTTTGATGCTGCTAATCCTGCATAATGCACGGGCATGAGTAGTACTAATCACATACCTGCATTTCCCATATCCCCTCCCTGTGATGCTGCTAATCCTGCATAATGCACGGGCATAAGTAGTACTAATCACATACCTGCATTTCCCATATCCCCTCCCTTTGATGCTGCTAATCCTGCATAATGCAAGGGCATGAGTAGTACTAATCACATTCCTGCATTTCCCATAAATATGCTAAATTCCTCTTGATATGCAAATTCTATTGTCAAGGCGCTCCCTTCCCCCCCCCCCCTCCAACCCAGCTTATAAACATGCTCCAAGCTCGTGTGCTGTTTCATTCAGACGCTGTCGCCCCGACAGACCTGGTTTTCACCTGAGGACGGCTGCTTGTGTTGCTTCCGAAACGTCGTGAATTTTTAATTTTGTTTTATTTTACTTTCATTTTACTTTCATTAATTTAAATTGTTTTACCTACGTGACTTCACCGAAAAAACCGAAGGTCACTGACCAGCACGTCCGTTGCGCGTGAACTGCGACAGGTTCGCGAGCTGGGCAAGCGACGGGAGGCACTCTGCGAGAAAGTCGGCTGCTATGAAAACAAGGTGAGTGCCAAGTTGGCAGTGCATCTCTAACTACACTGGCCAATGGCAGTGCTTCTCTAATCACACTGGTCAATGGCAGTGCCTCTCTAACTACACTGGTCAATGGCAGTGCGTCTCTAACTACACTGGCCAATGGCAGTGTCTCTCTAACTACACTGGCCAATGGCAGTGCCTCTCTAACTACACTGGTCAATGGCAGTGCCTCTCTAACTACACTGGTCAATGGCAGTGCCTCTCTAACTACACTGGTCAATGGCAGTGTCTCTCTAATCACACTGGTCAATGGCAGTGCTTCTCTAACTACACTGGTCAATGGCAGTGCTTCTCTAACTACACTGGTCAATGGCAGTGCCTCTCTAACTACACTGGTCAATGGCAGTGCCTCTCTAACTACACTGGTCAATGGCAGTGCCTCTCTAACTACACTGGCCAATGGCAGTGCCTCTCTAACTACACTGGTCAATGGCAGTGCCTCTCTAACTACACTGGTCAATGGCAGTGCCTCTCTAATCACACTGGTCAATGGCAGTGCTTCTCTAATCACACTGGTCAATGGCAATGCTTCTCTAATCACACTGGTCAATGCAGTGCCTCTCTAATCACACTGGTCAATGGCAGTGCTTCTCTAATCACACTGGTCAATGGCAATGCTTCTCTGATCACACTGGTCAATGGCAGTGCCTCTCTAATCACACTGGTCAATGGCAGTGCTTCTCTAATCACACTGGTCAATGGCAATGCTTCTCTGATCACACTGGTCAATGGCAGTGCCTCTCTAATCACACTGGTCAATGGCAGTGCGTCTCTAACTACACTGGTCAATGGCAGTGCCTCTCTAACTACACTGGTCAATGGCAGTGCCTCTCTAACTACACTGGCCAATGGCAGTGCCTCTCTAACTACACTGGCCAATGGCAGTGCCTCTCTAACTACACTGGCCAATGGCAGTGCTCTCTACTACACTGGTCAATGGCAGTGTGTCTCTAACTACACTGGGTCAATGGCAGTGCCTCCTAACTACACTGGCCAATGGCAGTGCCTCTCTAACTACACTGGCCAATGGCAGTGCGTCTCTAACTACACTGGTCAATGGCAGTGTGTCTCTACTACACTGGTCAATGGCAGTGTGTCTCTAACTACACTGGTCAATGGCAGTGTGTCTCTAACTACACTGGTCAATGGCAGTGTGTCTCTAACTACACTGGTCAATGGCAGTGCCTCTCTAACTACACTGTCAATGGCAGTGCCTCTCTAACTACACTGGGTCAATGGCAGTGCCTCTCTAACTACCACTGGTCAATGGCAGTGCCTCTCTAACTACACTGGTCAATGGCAGTGCCTCTCTAACTACACTGGTCAATGGGCAGTGCCTCTCTAACTACACTGGTCAATGGCAGTGCCTCTCTAACTACACTGGCCAATGGCAGTGCCTCTCTAACTACACTGGTCAATGGCAGTGTCTCTCTAATGACACTGGTCAATGGCAGTGCTTCTCTAATCACACTGGTCAATGGCAATGCTTCTCTAATCACACTGGCCAATGGCAGTGCTTCTCTAATCACACTGGCCAATGGCAGTGCTTCTCTAATCACACTGGTCAATGGCAGTGCCTCTCTAATCACACTGGTCAATGGCAGTGCTTCTCTAATCACACTGGTCAATGGCAGTGCCTCTCTAACTACACTGGTCAATGGCAGTGCCTCTCTAACTACACTGGTCAATGGCAATGCTTCTCTAATCACACTGGTCAATGGCAGTGCTTCTCTAATCACACTGGTCAATGGCAGTGCTTCTCTAATCACACTGGTCAATGGCAGTGCATCTCTAATTACACTAGTCAATGGCAATGCTTCTCTAATCACACTGGTCAATGGCAGTGCATCTCTAATTACACTGGTCAATGGCAGTGCCTCTCTAACTACACTGGTCAATGGCAGTGCCTCTCTAACTACACTGGTCAATGGCAGTGCCTCTCTAACTACACTGGCCAATGGCAGTGTCTCTCTAACTACACTGGTCAATGGCAGTGCGTCTCTAACTACACTGGCCAATGGCAGTGCCTCTCTAACTACACTGGCCAATGGCAGTGTCTCTCTAACTACACTGGCCAATGGCAGTGCTTCTCTAACTACACTGGCCAATGGCAGTGTCTCTCTAACTACACTGGCCAATGGCAGTGTCTCTCTAACTACACTGGCCAATGGCAGTGCTTCTCTAACTACACTGGTCAATGGCAGTGTCTCTCTAACTACACTGGCCAATGGCAGTGCTTCTCTAACTACACTGGCCAATGGCAGTGTCTCTCTAACTACACTGGCCAATGGCAGTGCTTCTCTAACTACACTGGTCAATGGCAGTGCTTCTCTAACTACACTGGTCAATGGCAATGCATCTCTACTTACACTGGTCAACACACTTTGTCTGGCGTAAGGTATTCCAACGGTTCTACATTTGAAGCTTTCGTGACTGCAATGATTCATATTCTTAGTTTTTTTCGGTAAAGTCACTGTGTAGGTAAAAACACATTAAAAAGCTTGTGTTGCCTCCGAAACGTCGTGATTTTATTTTACTTTTTAATGTTTTTTACCTACGTGACTTTACCGAAAAACCTACGAATATGTATTCCAACGGTGTGAAGGTAATTTTGTGGAGCTGCTGATTCCGGCATAGGTTGTCGTCTATCACGTCAGGTTTGTGAGATATCAAATGTCGCATTTTCGCTAAAAACTGCGGAAGAAAAATATTAAATAAATGTGGATATGAATTTCGATGTAAAGCTTCTTCGTGACTGCAGGGATTCATCTTCTTGGTTCTTTCGGTAAAGTCACGTAGAAGGGAAGTAATAAAATAATAAAAATAAAACATTTAATAATTCTCACGACGTTTCGGCCACAACGCAAGCAGCCGTCCTCAGGTGAAGAGCAGGTCTGTCGGGGAGACAGCGTCTGAATGAAACAGCACACGCGCTTGGAGCATATATATATGTAGTACTAATCACATTCCTAAATTTCCCATAAATATGCTGAATTCCTCTTGATATGCAAATTATTTTGTCGAAGCGCCCTTTCCTCCCCTCCCAACGCAGCTTATATATACGCTCCAAGCTCGTGTGCTGTTTCATTCAGACGCTGTCTCCCCGACAGACCTGTTCTTCACCTGAGGACGGCTGCTTGCGTTGTGGCCGAAACGTCGTGAGAATTATTTTATATGTTTATTTTTATTATTTTATTTTTTCCCTTCTACGTGACGACTTTACCGAAAGAACCAAGAAAATGTGGATATCTAGATAAAATATATTATAAACACACGAGCCTAAAAATACAGCACCGTATTTTAACACTAAAGCAGTCACTGACCTCGCAACAGAGTTAATTTCGGGTAAAACCGAAGCAGTCTTTATCGTGACTGCAATGTTCGTCGTGCCCGTGCTTGCTTGACGTTGCAGTACAAGGATTTGGGGTCTGAAGTCGACTCGCTAAAGCGACAGGGCGAACAAGCACGCAGCCACGAGAGCGCCGAGTTAGCGACTACATGGAGCAGATCAGACGCCTGGAGGAGGTTTGCGAAACGAACTTGACCGATGTTGTTTACAAAGGCTCAGCCTTTGTTATGCAGTCTACTCTTAGTCTCAAGCCTCACCTTACCATATTAATAACAAGTATAACCCGTAAAAACAAAGTTGTTCACTCTAAATCCTTTATATGCGTGGCGGCTAGAGTCCTCTCGTCCTCTGGCTTGAGATGGCTGCCACCTATGGGTCAGTATTAAGCAATTGGTAATTAAATATTTTATTTGTTTTCCCTAAACCAGGGGTCGGCAACCAAAATAACAAGAAGAGCCATTTCTTTCCAATTCGGTACAAAATTCAGTATTTCAAGAGCCGCAATGCATCTGAGTACATACTGTACATACGTACTCATCGTCAAGAAGCAGCCCGTAAAGAGCCGCATGCGGCTCCGGAGCCGTAGGTTGCCGACCCCTGCCCTAAACAGTTTAAAATTTTGGGAAAAAAATTTTCACGAACATTAATTGTCACGCACAACGAGTCTGTGTGCAAAATGTCAGCTCGATTGGATCACGGGAAGTGGGTTAAAAAACGACCGAAAGATTTGCACGGTCCTAAGCAAGCAAGCAAGCGAACTTAATATAAAGGATTTAAAAAGTATGCGGCCCTTGCACCACCACCTTCTCCAACCATTTTATAAACGGAGTGGTAGCTCTTGCAATCTCTCGTTTACTTGATACGGCTGTCGTGGCTGTGACGGTACCTCCTGAAGACGGAAGCTTGTGTTGCCTCCGAAACGTCGTGATTTTTATTTTATTTTATTTAGTTTTTTAATGTTTTTACCGACGTGACTTTACCGAAAAAACCTGAGAATATGGATCATTTCAGTCACGAAAGCTTCAAATCTAGATGGGTTTCTGTGTGAGTCTGTGGGTTTCTGTGTGAGTCTATGGGTTTCTGTGTGAGTCTGGGTTTCTGTGTGAGTCTGGGTTTTTGTGTGAGTCTATGGGTCTCTGTGTGAGTCTATGGGTTTCTGTTTGAGTCTGTGGGTTTCTGTGTGAGTCTATGGGTTTCTGTGTGAGTCTATGGGTTTTTGTGTGAGTCTGTGGATTTCTGTGTGAGTCTGTGGGTTTCTGTGTGAGTCTGTGGATTTCTGTGTGAGTCTATGGGTCTCTGTGCGAGTCTATGGATTTCTGTGTGAGTCTATGGGTCTCTGTGTGAGTCTGTGGGTTTCTGTGTGAGTCTGTGGGTTTCTGTGTGAGTCTGTGGGTTTCTGTGCGAGTCTGTGGGTCTCTGTATGAGTCTGTGGGTCTCTGTGTGAGTCTATGGATTTCTGTGTGAGTCTGTGGGTTTCTGTGTGAGTCCATGGGTTTCTGTGTGAGTCTATGGGTTTCTGTGCGAGTCTATGAGTTTCTGTGTGAGTATATGGGTTTCTGTGTGAGTCTATGGATTTCTGTGTGAGTCTGTGGGTTTCTGTGCGAGTCTGGGTTTCTGTGTGAGTCTATGGGTTTCTGTGCGA